TGGGGCGACGCGGAGGCCTCCGCGTTCCAAGCGATCAAGGGCGGTCACCTCGGAACCGGTCCTGGCGATTCCGGACGACGCACGGCCTTTCCGACTCGAGGCGGACAGCTCTGATTATGCGACGGGGCGGTTCTTTCACAATCCGCCCCGGACGGGAAGTGGCACCCTGTAGCATTCTATTCCAAAAGCTTAAATGATGTCCAGCGCAACTACGAAATCCACGACAAGGAGATGCTCGCGATCATCCGCGCACTCGAGGAGTATAGACACTTCCTCGAGGGTGCCGCGCATCCCGTCGAGATTTGGACTGACCATAAGAATTTGGAGTACTTCAGGAAGACGCAGCACCTCAACCGGAGACAGGCCCGCTGGTCCCTCTACCTCTCCCGGTTCGACTTCACGCTGCACCACAAGCCCGGTCGCGACATGGGCCGACCTGACGCCCTCTCTCGGAGACCCGACCACGGAATCGATTCCGACAACTCCGACGTCGTCCTTCTGCGGCCCGAACTCTTCCACGTCCGCGCACTCGAGGGTGTTTCCGTTTCCGGTCCCGGTTCCGAACTTCTTCGCGACATTCGCGATGCCCTCTCCGGTGAGCCTGACCTGGAGGAGCCCGTCGCACTAGCGGCCCGGCAACTCCTAAAGGTCCAAGGTCAAGCTCGAGGCCCCCGCTCCTCACGCTCCGACGAGTGGGCCGTCTCCGGTGGTCTTCTCCACTTCCGTGGGAAGATTGTCGTGCCCAAGGACAAGGACCTCCGGAGGCGCATCATCGAGCTCTGCCATGACACTCGAGTCGCCGGACATGCCGGTCGCTTCAAGACCTTGGAGTTGGTCTCCCGGAACTACTGGTGGCCTCAGATGTCTCGCCATATCGGCCGGTACGTCGCGACCTGCGACTTGTGCTGTCGCACCAAGGCGCTCCGGAGACTGCCCCACGGAGAGCTACACCCGACGGAAACACCCCCGGAGCGCTGGCATACCGTCTCCGTCGACTTCATTGTCGAGCTCCCCGAGGCCCATGGGTACGACGCGATCATGGTCGTCGTGGACACCCTTGGGAAGCGAGCCCACTTCTCCGAGTGCCATACCACGGTCGACGCAGTAGGAGCAGCCCGCCTCTACTACCGGAATGTCTGGCGCCATCACGGGACTCCGGAGAAGTACGTCTCCGACCGTGGCTCACAGTTCATCGCGGACTTCACCCGAGAACTCTGGCGTCTAATCGGCATCAAGCCAGCCACGTCCACCGCGTATCATCCGCAAACGGACGGTCAGACAGAGCGCGTCAACCAGGAGTTGGAGCAGTACCTGCGGATCTTCACCAACTATCAGCAGGACGACTGGGATGAGCTGATTCCGGCCGCGGAGTTCGCTTACAACAACCACGTCCACTCATCCACGCAGCAAGTCCCCTTCATGACAGACACGGGACGGCTTCCGCGCATGGGCTTTGAACCCGGAGCCCGTTCCGCTATGGAGTCTGTGAACGAGTTCCGCGACCGAATTGCCACTGGGGTTGCCGAAGCCAAGGCCGCGCTCACTAAGGCCAAGGAAGAGTATAAGCGCTACTACGACCGGAGACGCACTCCGTCTCCGGAGTTCAAGGTTGGCGACCGTGTTTGGCTGGATGCCTCTGACATCAGGACGACTCGCCCCTCGGAGAAGTTCTCCCACCGCCGCCTCGGTCCGTTCAAGATAGTCCAAGGAGATCAGCAAAGGTGCCTACAAGCTCGACCTCCCTCCGCGCTACTCGAAGCTCCACCCGGTCTTCCCCGTCGTCAAGCTTGAGCTCGCCCCAAGACGACCCCTTCGACGGACGCCCCGGCTACGACCAGCCCCTCCGGACCTCGAGGACGGAGTCCCGGAGTGGGAAGTAGAGGAGATCTTGGACGCAAGGGTGAGGTATAAACGGCTGAATTACTGCCGTCAGATGGAAAGGCTACGACGCGTCGCACGACCAGTGGGTCCGCTTCGACCGCGTCTTCGCCCCGGACAAAATCTGGAGTTCTACCGTAAGTACCCTGGCAAACCACGGCACATCGCCTCCGCAACCTTCGACTCGATTCCGTTCCGGTCTATGCGTCGGGACGCCGCATTCAAAGGGGGGGTGATGTCAGGGGAACCTCCCTTTCGGCCCCTCGGAGACGATCCCGATTCGGTCCGACTCCGGTTCCGACTCCGGTGATCGCATCACCGCCTCCGTCAGGCGCATCGCCGCCCCCGCCTGGCGATCCCCCTGGGACCTGGCCTGCGACATGGCGCAGGCATACTGCACGGAGCAACGATCAACCTTGGCGCGTCAAGAGCGCAGTATATAGTTCCGCTACCTAGCAGGCGGACCCTTAGAGTTTCTTCTCTTTGGATCCTCCCCTGCTAGGTCAGCCTCACTTGTATTTGCTTACTTCTATTCACTCTTTGGATCCTCCCCTGCTAGGACCTTGATCTCAGGCCTCCGGGGTTGCCCTTACAGTACAACTCACCTTTTTTAGAGTTTTTAGATACAACTTTGCAAATTAGATACAACTTTTCACCCTGTGTACATGTACAAGTCAACCTCAAAGACAGCTTTTCTGGTGACATGTTTTGCTTTGACTGGTGACAAGTTTATACTTGATGACAACTTTTCTGGAGACATGTTCAACTTCTGCAAGTGCAACTTTTCTGACTGCTGATAACTCATAATAAGCAGACAACTTTTCCAGCAACATGTTCAACTTTCTTGAATACAACTTGGTTTTTCATTTTGAGTACAACTTTTTCAAGTGCAACTTTCTTTCTGAGGTACAACTTTTTCAAGTGCTACTTCAACCTAGACTGGAACAACTTTGTAAATCACAACTTCGCAAGATACATGTTGCCAAAGCCTCTGGTACAACTTTTCTGGGCCTACATACAACTTTTTCAGACAAGGTACAACTTCAGTTACTGCATCACTTGCCATCAGCGGCCATCAAAGGTGATCATAAAGGCAGTGGTAGAGCAAAGCATGTTTAATGTGTTTATCTGATCCGCTGATGATATCAGTGATGGCTGGCCAAAAAAGTTCAGATTGCATTCAAATAAACTGCATACAGAAATAAAGTTGTCCTAGGAAAAGTTGTCCAACTGGCTAGTTGTATGCCCAAAAAGTTGTACTCAGGAAAAGTTGCATTTTGGAAAGTTGTACATAATGACAGGTTGTCTTTGCCCAAGTTGGACTTGTCACAGCCAGACTCAAGTTGCCCCACCCAGGAAAAAGTTGTACCTGAATTAGGGCCAAAGATGTCTTATTAAAAGTTGTAGTTGTCTTTGGCCAAATGAAAAGTTGTTTCTGGACAAGTTGTGATTCTGGCAGTTGTACATGCTTCCAAAAAAGTTGTATCCCCCAAAGTTGTACATGCTCTCAAAAAAGTTGTCTCATGTTGGAAAGTTGTACTCAGACAAGTTGTACATGTTATTGGTGAAGTTGTATCTGACAAACATGTAGTTGTAGTTGATATAGAGTTGTATCATATTTTTAGCTGTATTTTACCTAAGTTGTCTCTAATCTTTTTTTACAGTATGTCTCCCATATATATTCAATGGCCATGGATTTCAAAACTCACACATGTCTTGAAACCAGTTTGAAAACCGTTTCGAAACCACACTTACTCACAGCACCCTAGAACTGATGGATTTTGTGTACTAAACCTGTTCAAACTCATAAAATATTTGAGGTGCAAGTTATTGAAAGCACAGAAAATATATGGAATTTTGAATTCGAGCCTGGAAGAAGCTCAAGGATATTCTTCCAGGAGCAAAAGATGAATTCCTATGAAAGTGACTTATCCCTTTGCATGCCAGCCTCCATGCTGAATAGCGGGAGCCGCCCAACCTGGGCCCTGTGGTGGACGAGTGTTCAAAGCAGTCATGATCCCTTTGTAGATATGCCTAAGTTTTTTACCATAACTCATGCACTGAATTTGGCAAGAATTTGGCTGAGATGCCATGATTATTCATCCACCTACTTATAGCATGATTGCCCATTCCTATGAAAGGTTGTGGAAGTCCATGGGGCTTGCGGCTGGACCTGATAGTCTCCAGTTCAATATGGGTCATAGTTTGCTGTTCAAACCGTGACAAGGCAGGATCCATTGAGTATTAACTCCAAGTCGGGGTAATTTTTTTGTTTCCTGGCCAAACCCATACACACACACACACACACACACACAAACACACACTTCCTAGCTTCAAGGCCCTATCTCACTGCCACCAACTGTTGTTCACACACATCGAGATCTCCACAGGGACAAACACAGCACATTTGCAGCAAATCACTTTATTCCCCTTTGCTGATAGTATTTGGAATATCCACATGCACCCTCAGGCTGCCTATCGGTGATTGATGTGGGAGCACATACATACAGGTGGTGGGCGTATGCGGCTTGTATGATGACAGCCCCACTGGCAGGCCAACAATACCAGAGCTCGAAGTTTGGAGCACACTGGCAGATGGAGGTCGACGAAGGCGTAGCAAACTACATACGCTGTGCGTGGAGTTGGCGCGGAATGGAGACTGGGACCGCCAGCGCAGACGAAGACGATCGAGGTCGCACCGACCGCAGTTCTACCCTACCCCGCGCTGTTCGAAGCAGTCGGGGTCCGTTCAGAGTCGTCTGAAATTGTACGAATATATTTTTTGTGCTGAACCTGCTCATGAGCAACACAAGTCTCTGTATTCCCCTTTGCTGCTATGTACTTGTGCGCAAAACCCGCATCCACCCTGCTACATATCGGTGGCCGTCAGCACATACAAGTATCGGACAGTGGGACGGGCATGGGGCGCACTGTTCGAAGCAGTCGCGGTCCCTTCTCCTGGGAGTAAGACAATTTTTTGGTCCAAACTTGATCACGACCAAACTTAAACGTAACACACTCCCATGATAAAACTGAAATGCATCAAGATATTCGCAGTCGTGAACACAGGAGAAACAGAGATAGGCTAGGCAGGGAGGGAGGGCGGGTAAACAACGAGGGGACTAAGACGGTATGTACAGCGGGGTATTCAGATCCACTCGCGCTTGGTGCGGACGACGCTGACGTCGAGCAGGCCGGCGTCCGCGGCCTCCTCGTCGACGCGGACCCAGGTCTCGGCGCGGGCGGCGACGGCGGCGGGCACGTGGACGGGGGCGTAGACGACGTCGGCGGCGGGGACGCCGCGGGGGGAGCGGGAGGAGGCGGATGCGGTGGGTGGCGTCCGCCTCCGTGTCTGGTGCGCGCTGCTGCTGGCGGAGGAGGGCGGCGTAGTGGGTGTTGACGGCGAGGAGGAAGTGGACGCGGACGACGGCGAGGACGAGGAGGGCGGCGGCGGCGGCGACGCCGAGCTGGGTGAGGTAGCGCTCGCAGGCCTCGTCGGGGGCGAGCTGCGCAGGGAGGAACGGGGCGAGCACCGCGCCGATCAGCGGGAGGAGCGGCGCGAGCTCGGGGGCGTCGCACGTCGGCGCGGGGGTGCCCGGGTGGAAGGCGACGGCGGCGGCGACGAGGCCGAGGAGGGCGGTGAAGGCGAGGTCGGCGCTCGCGCAGTCGCGGTACAGGCGCACGTGCGACGGGCGCGCCCGGAGCACGCCGCTGAAGCCGAGGAAGGAGATGCACGACGCCGCGATCAGGTACAGCGCGACCAGCAGGAACAGCACACGCAGCCCGTCAAGCCGGAAGGCGTTCTCGTACTCCGTCTCCGCTTCAAGCGCCCGCAGCGTCGCCCACGACGACGCCAGCTTCAGCGCAAGGTATGTGTGCACGAGGCCGCCACTCAGGGTGATGACCAGCGAGGCAGCCCTGAAGAGGGGTCAGACGGGCAACAAAAGCAGGAAAAAGGCCACGCACTTGGGGATAGTCATTCGAGGAGGCATAACTGGCGGAGGGGGTCGTCAGTGACGACGAGGACGGCGGCGGAGAAGGACGGGGAAGACAAGGGCTGGCTGACGTGTGACTCCCGCACAATTCGGCTCCCCGCTCAGTAAGCGTCATGACACATCACCGTTGACACGCGGTGAGCCGAATAACCGTCACCGCTCCTCGTCACCGTGCATCCTGCATGCCAAACCCCGGAGCTGCTTGCGGAACTCCCGCTCCACTACCGCCCTACTGCCCACTCCAGGCGCAGATCCGCGGCATCCACGCCGCCAATGACTATACCGGCGCGGACACTCTGAATCTGCGCGCACTGCCACAGACATGTGTCCGGCTCCGGTCCGTCTTATTTTTTGGGCGCAAATCGTGATAGAGAAAGAAAAAGAATCGAAACGGGCGCCGTTTATTCCTGAACTCCCGCAGTGTATGGCGGCACATCTACATTTACTTTGAGCTGCCGGGATGCCATCAACAGGCTCTGGGAGCAACCACTGTCCACATGAATGTGAGCAGCGGGTCGAGAACAAGCTGGCAGTGTTATGCAGAGCAGTGGATGTGAGGGCCAGCTCACTGACTGTCACCCCCATGAATGCAAATGCCAAGGGGGAAGGAAGAAAAAAAATTAAAGGAACATACGCACAAAATATTTTTTGAGGGCTCACAGGCAGCCCGACCGACCGTGACATGCGTGACATTTGCCTATTTTGGCAGGTGGTCCCACAGTCACATGGTCCACAGCCACCAGCAAATGAGACCAACTTTAGAGGTGGCTTGTTGCTGGTATATGCCATGAATAGACTTGTAAGCAAATCTTGTTTGAAATATCAAGGGCTGAATGTGAAGCTTGACATCCTGAGGGTCACAAATCAGTGACCAACATGGCCAGATATGATAATTTACTGATGGGAAGGCAGAGCCTAGAGCCTAACTTCATACGACATTGAAAATATACAGACTCATCTGTGTATACCTATCTATGGCTGCCTAAAATATGAAAAAAATTAATTACAGAAATACAAAATTAAGCCTGACTGGGGGACCCTCCGACCACTATCATGTACATGCTCCCCCCTTGGCAAATGCACCCTCCGACGCTGACCACATTTGCTCAACTTGACCTCCTCCGTCGCAACAGCATCCCAAACATTCCCCGCACCGATGATATTCCACCTGAGAACAAGCCATACAACTCCAGATACAGCTTGGCATCCACTCTCCCGGATACACCAGGTCCATCGAAAAGACAATCCAGCCCACCCTCTGCGACAACATCCAGCAGGTGCTGTCTTGGAGCACAATGGCACAGTCTGAGGGCGACAACACAAAAGCGTATGGCTCTGGCACCGCGGAGCTGAAGGGCATAGATTGCGCCAACGACACCGACTTAGAGGAACTGGCTGGCCTGCCAGTACTCCCTCCGCTCAGCAGCGAGCAACCTCCATCACCGTCCGTCACTGCATTTGAAGCCCAGGCCTATTCACGGCTCTTTTTTGAGTTGGACTGTGTGCAGCACACACTCAAATCGTGTTTTTTGAGTTGGACCGTGTGCAGCACACACTCAAATTGTGTTTGGAGGGGCTGGAGAGCTCTTCAAATCCAGCTGCATTCACAGCTGATGAGAATGCTCATCTGGCGGAATTTGAGGATGTTGTTGGACATCTTGCGACTCAGTTTTGCGCCCGACGTGTCAGTGCAATAGACTTGATTGCAACTGGTTCTAAGACCAGCTCTACTAGTACTGCCGCTTCTTCCGCCTTCGCCCGAGAAACGCCAGCACCATCATCAGTTATATGCAGCTACTTAGTACTTAGATTAGATTCCCAATGAAACATGTTTTTGGTTCAATTTTTCCTTGAGATCTATTGTAGTTACCAGAATAGGCAGACAATGGATCGGAGACCCAACCCAAGGAAGAGGCACATGATGTCACAAGTTCCCTGGACAAGCCAGAACGCCCGCTGCGATTTGAGCCATTTAAGGCTGCCAAAATTGTGGCAGGCACATGTGTCCGGACACCCCAGTGAGCTACTTGCTCCAATGTCATAAGACCTGTAATAGATTAATAGACCTAAGGGGTGCCATCTCCCAAGGAGGTGATATCAGTGGCATCTTCCAGAGTTGCTGGATCATGATGATAATTCTACCTTCTACATACTGTATTAATTAATTGATAATACCTGCATCTGTGGCAAAAACAGTGCACATTGATACTGTAAAGTAGTTGGTGCTAGTGATAGCATCTCTTAATTGCTAATTTCTTTAGCATTGGTATGTTTAGTGATGGCCAAGTCCGGTTTGGTCCGGTTCTTGGCCCTTTTCGGCCGAACGCCGGACCGCCGGTTCGGTTCAAAACGGGATTTTGCCGAATGTGAACGCCGAACGTCGGTTCGAACCGGCCCCGAACCGGCGTTTTTGGACCAAAAACGGCTGAACCTGGCCGAACCGAGGGCCAGGTTCGGTTCGGAAACGGCCTTGGCCGAACCTGAACGCCGAACGCGCGTTCAGTCCGGTCCGGTTCGGGTTCGCGAACCGGACCTGGCCATCACTAGGTATGTTACATATTGTAGCCAGGATGTTCTGTAAATATAACATCTGAGCTGGTGCTCAGTGGGTTAATATATTGATAGTTGTCCAACAATAAGTAGCTACTGGGAGCTCCACATATTATAGTGCTACTAGTAGTGATAGCATCTCTTGTTTATTTAGCATTGGTGTGTTAGCTTTCTAGACAGAAGATTCTGTGAGTATAACATTTCAGCTGGTACTTAGTCAATGTATTAATAGTTGTCCAACAACAGGTAGCTACTGGTAGCTCTACATATTGGTTGGCAGACAGTTGTAAAATACCAGTACTGGCAGTTTACTTGAGTACTCACAGAGCCTATACTTGATTCCTTATCTTTGACCTAAATGATTTAGCTCAGAGCTCTCAAGAGGTGCAGAGAGCCTCCATTACTAGTATGACAGCAGTTTTTCATAATAGACAAGAGAGCCTTGAACATGTCATATAACATATTGGTAGTTTCAGAACTTCAAATTAAAGCAGTCCTTCCAAAGGGGTCAAAAGAAGATTAATATATCATCATAACAAGTATAGCCTGAGGCTAAGGCTATGGTAGATCATAGTGTAGCTATATTAATAACATTTTGATAGACAGGAGTTTATAAAAAGCATAAGAAGACAACTAAGGATTATTTAAAAAATAATATATAATGAGGCTTTTTATAAGGAGGACATATTTGGTCTGGCAGGAGCATCTAGTGGGAGCACTGGGAGGTGCAGTAGCTCACAAAAATATTATGTTCAAATATCTTAAAACCAGCTCACAAAGTCCTCTATAAAGTTGCTATTAGGTATCTGAGTGAGTTTCATAGGTATTTTATTATTGTGGCTCAATGTGCTGAATCTGGTAATGCTTTAACCTCTCGTCACATTGAAAGTACTATAGCGAACTAGATTATTCTATGCAATGTGATAAATTCTATTGAGATAGGCATATAATTGATATGAGAGACCTGGACACCTTATAGGAGTTCAATGGTCATTTTTTTTAAGCAAAAAAACCCAATAGCTGTCTTAAACAAGTATGATTTCCATGACATTAGTTTTATTTTTCATGTCTGATAGCACATCAGTAGCTCCTCACACCTACCACTTAAATTTCTATGGAGATGGTTGGTATCATATATTAAAACAGCTCAGTGCCGGCATTGACAGGAAGTCATGCAGACGTACGTGGATTTTACGTGCCACCCCTCGGATACCGCCCGCCGGCGAGCGGCTGTGTGGGCACTGCAAAAGTTCTTTCCATGCCATAGGCACAGGTTGTCAGGGGAACCTCCCTTTCGGCCCCTCGGAGACGCCTCCGATTCCGGTCCGACTCCGGTTCCGACTCCGGTCCGGCCCTCCATCTCGCCCGCACAATCACCGATCCGTCAACGCCCTCCCAACGGTCACCCTGGGACCTTGCCTGCGACGCCGCCCAAGCCTTCTGTGCCCGACAGCGGCAGCTACGGACAAGCAGTATATAGTCAGCTCCCTAGCAGGCGGACCCTTAGAGTTTCTTCTCTTTGGATCCTCCCCTGCTAGGTCAGCTTCATTTGTATTTGCTTACCAATGTTCACGCTTTGGATCCTCCCCTGCTAGGACCTTGATCTCAGGCCTCCGGGGTTGCCCTTACAGCAGAAGAAACTCTCTACGGGATCAACCGGACAAGATTGCTAGGTTCGGCGCTGACTCAGGCTCGGAATACGAGTCCGTTCCGCCCTCGTCACCACCCCCTACCACTTGTCCCCTCCTCCTCTGTCACTCCTGTCATCCCCGCACCTGTCATGCCTTCCGGAGCTACTCCTGACGCTGACACTCGGCTGGATGCACTCGAGGCGAAAATCGACCGCCTAACTGAGGCCCTTACTCTTCTCACCACCCAGGCTTCCGCTGCTGCTGCCGCCGCTAATACTGCTGGCGGACCCCAAACAACACCACCCCCGGAGACGTCGATTCCGACTCCGACTCCGGTTCAGGGCGATTCCGAGGCCCTCTTTGGCGACATCAACCTCGCCTCAAAATTGGTCTTGCGACCAAACCCTCCGTTCACCTTCAACGGCGATCGGAAACGCGGCCGCGCGTTTCTCTATGCGGTCCGCACCTACGCGCGCCTTGCCCCTGAGGCCTTCGTGGTCAACGGAGAGGCGAGCGAGGAAAAGGCCGTCCGCTATGCCATGTCGTTTATGGCAGAAGGACCCGCTCAGCAATGGGCGGAGCGCCACGGAAGCAAAGCCCCGTTTCCGTTTCCATCCTGGGGCTCGTTCGTTTCCGAGTTCCGACTCCGGTTCGTCGAGGAGAATGAGCAAGATCACGCTCTCTCCAAACTGGAGACTTCCGCCTATCACATGGGCACAAAGGATGTCTACCAGTACACCGACGACTTCGAGGACCTGATGGACCTCGCCGGATTCGAAGACGCATTGGTCAAGGTGACCAAGTTCCGCCCACGGA